ATTAGTCTACATGATTAACAATACCATTCACACAATTTAACAATACATCCCCCTTCTCCCCGGAAGATAAAGTTCAATGGAGAGAGCTGGGGGAGGCCAATAGCCACACCAAATTATGAAACAAAGACATATGAACATTTTATAAATAAAAAATGTACTCCAACTTTGAGCAAAAATGCTATATTAATATTATTATAACAATGAGAACCAACTTTTATATTCATGGAATCCACTTAAGATCTCGTCCTTTTTAACGTTATTGGACAAAAATAAATCTAATGACGTTAGACGAGCAGTTCCTATAGAGTTTCATATACAACATTATGTGTATATAATAACAAGAATTTCCAAATGTCATTTCCTTTATTATCGTATTTACGGCGTAACGATGCGGAGGATGTATCCTTAGGAAATAGACGTCAAATGGCCCATTGTGTGTTGAAGGTTGAACACCTGATGTGTACAAACAGATCAACAAACGAGCCGCAGTTGGGGTTAAATCTTTATCTATACTCATTTTATTACAAACTAGTTGTGCCCGTGGTTTCACTCGCGTTAAATTTCATTATAAAATATAGCCTGTGTTATTCTAATGAATAAGCTACATTACTGTAAAGTTTCATGAAAATCCGTTCCGTAGTTTTTGCGTGAAAGAGTGACAAACATCCATACTTACAAATTTTCACGTTTATTATATTAGCAAAATTAAGATAAGACTAGGATAAGTTATTACTAACAAAATGGACCATGGTGTCTGAAAATAAATAATTATTATTATTATATACAAATAAATATAATTGAAGTGTTTGTGCCTTTATTCTTGCTAATTTTTGAAATGTCTGAACCGATTTTGGCTGGACTTTCACTCGCAGATAGTAATAAGCAGTAACTTACGATAGTTTTATTTTACAAATTTTATTTATTTTGATTCCATAGTATATACTAAAATCGAGACCACCTGTTTGTGTTGTTGTTTAACGAAAAACGGCTGCTTTTTATTGTGGCAAATCCATCAGAAATTTAACAAGATGGTTACTAGGGTGAGCCGCGTGGAGGTAAACCTATAAAAATATATATATAAATAGCCATAACTCTCTCTCTTCCTAGCTAGGTATCCTACATGTTGGTAGGGTCAGTTTTCTCTCTCCGCCACTTTACCCCTACGCCTTCCGTCCTTATATTATATATATAATGGCATATAAGTCTGTTATAGACGGTTTATGGCGTGATGTTCCGTGAACAGTTCTTTTCGTGGCTGTATAAACATATAATATAGGGATAAAGACTTGAGGAATATTCTTAAATTATTTATTTACGTATTAAAATCGTCTTTACATCGTATTACATAGTTTTCTGTTTCAATTATTTATTGATAATTAAACTATAATCAAAATGGAACGCATAAATCTTTTTACCACATATAAGTATATGAACATATGCTTAAATAATAATCAACAAATCACGAGATAGACATACGGTTAAGCATACAATATTTAATAACTCGCTGTACATAGCAATTATTCATCGCTTATAGTAATGGTTGACTATGTTTTCCTTTTGTTTGCATGTAGTCTAAGAAAATTCCACATTTCCAACATAATTAACAAATGATGTCAGTACTGAAATATGCTTTACTTTCAGCCACTTGTGTTAATATGTACAAGTGTGACCAATGGGTTTTACTTGGTAAGTAACATTGCCACTTGGAGCTGTCAACAGCGTTTGTTAATGTCACCTTGAGTGTTGCAATTCTAATAATGCATAGTTTAACATAAAATAATAATCCTAGACAATGTACACAGCGCCATCTAGTCCCAAGCTAAGCAGAGCTATGAGTTTACAAGTACTAGACAACTGATACTAATACTTAAATACATTTTTTTATAATGAACTAGCGCCCCTGACTTCGCACGGATGCATTACAAATCTTTTAATTTCTCGGCTTGTTCTAAACTATATATAACACGGATGTACTTATTATATAGAAAAACCTTCCTTTAGAATCACCATATATATCTATTGTTGAAAAGTGCATTAAAATCCGACTTGTTTACGATATCGGATACTGTAAAAAAGTCAAATTTTAATATATATCTATACATATTAATAAAATTGGAGTGTCTGTTTGTAATATTGAAATAACCGTTTTTACTACGTGCATATGAATATAAATACGGTACACACACCAAAATAACATTTTTTACTATTTTTTTCTGTCTGTCTGTTTGTTCCGTCTAATCTCTGAAATGGCTGGACCGATTTTGACGGGACTTTTATTAGCAGGTAGCTGATGTAATAAGGAGTAACTTAGGCTACTTTTATTTCAGAAAAAAATCTGTTAATTTAGAGATATAAAGTAAAACTAACAACCTTTTTGTCGAGGACGACGTCCCGGGTATAGCTAAATATTTTTCCGTGGTAATACACTAAAATATCTATTATTAAAGTATCACTATCAATTCACATTCTGTTCAAGGTTTATTTAAATGGACTTATTATCTTTAGTATTAAAAGAGGATTACTGGTTCAAGGTCGATGTTATCAAATAAATATAATAATGAAGAAATATCATTAAGGTTTTCTTCCACTATAGGGATATCTATAATTACGTAACTATGTAGGATAATTTGTTACGTTCCTTACTTTTTGTCCCCTCCCCCCCTCTCCACTCGTTCTTGTCACTGCTAGTCATATTTGTAAGATTCCCCTCTCGCAAATCCCGTTACGTATTTTGCAATTTTAAAATATTTTAAGTATACAGATTTCGTGTTTTAATTCTGTAATGTCACAAAATTCTGGACTCCTCCCGCCCCTTGTCACACTATGTCACACTTTGTCAGTCTCCCCTCCCTAACATGTGACGAAATATATTAATAACACTTAATATATTTTTATTGCATGATAATAGATAGGTATCCACTTTCTAGCAATGAAGTCACCATAGTCCCCATTCCTAGTAATTTCTTGCCCCTCAGAAAGACACAGTTGGTGGTACTATCATATGAACTGAAGAATGTAGGTAGTTCTAATTAAATATTAAGAACAGTACTTAGTTTAGTAGTTTAGGTACAGTATTATATAATTAGAGGCTTAATTACTTCTAACTTTATGAGTAATATACATATTAACAGAACATAGTATTTTACTTTGGAATAATATATCTTTCAATGAGTGAGTCCCTCAAATTGATGGTGAAGTTTTGTAGTTTACTTTCCATGAAATCTTAAAGATACAAGCAGGGATAGCAAATTTTAAAGATACTGTATAATCAGTAAAAGAATGTAATTGTGAATAAAAGCAAAGGAACATCTATTTTGCTGTTTTTGAATATTTTTCCCTTACAAGAAAATAAATTATGAAAGTTTAATAGCATTCACAAGAATATTATTTACCATTTACCCATGCAAAGCCCAATAATATGAAAATATGTTCAAACCTTATGAACATATCACATCAACTATAATAGTTGATTGTTTATCCATACAAAGCTAAATAATATCAAAATAGGTTGAAAACAAAAGAAGATATTTTACTAACTATAACAGTTGCATACCTTACTCACTATGCTGACAGTATCACATACCTCTTCTTTAAAAATGTACTTCACTATATACTTACAATATTATTTTAGGCAGAATGCCAGATATTAAATCTGTGTGTCACTTAGATGCTTCGGTAAATAGGTAAACATGACCAAGTGCCAATACTATAAGGTGTTATAATTAATCTTATTCAATTATATATTGAACAAAAGTTTGACAATTTGTTTATATAATAATGGTACTGTTTTGTTGTAATTGTTTAACAAAGTTACTCAGTATTTACCCACCAGTGATGACTATATTTTTTTTAATAGAATAGTGTATTCATCTTCGCTAGAGGTACTTGATGGCAGGGTACCAGTGGAGGATGATAAGATGAGCATGAGGTCAGGTGAGTTTGCCTATAGTGACTAACAAAGCCAGGATTAACTATGATGGTTTCCAGGGGAAACTGCTACCGAGTCGACCTAACCTGCATTACTGGCAAAGGGGGCAGCTAGTCCTCAGAACTAACAATCCCCTCCCCCCCTTAATTACTATATTGCAATCATTTTCAATTATTACATAAATATATATTTGTACATTTAGTATGGGCATGTTATGCGACAGAGCGAGAACCATGTCTTAAAGAAAGTATTTAATATGAATGTGGATGGATGGAAAAGAGGATGACTACTAAAAAAAAGGCATTGTTTGAATGTAGGACTCCATGTCCACAATTAGCCTCTCTTTAGGCTGCTAGTCCACATTACAATCCCCTTCAGCTACTAAATATTAACATAGGTATCACATCCACACAACATCCATCAATTACAAAAAAAATTGTCTAATAAGTAATTCACTATAACATTCTAATAAGCAGAGAAATCAAATCAATAAGTACCATCTTTTTACTTAATTTATGTTATTTTCACATTGTAAGTATATGTTTATATACTTAAAATATATATTCCAATATATTCAAATTTTGTATTAATTCATAATAAAGATGTAGCCAATAAAGTGGGTACATCTTAGAGAACTTTTATTAATTATTGGAGGGTAAGGAATAAAAAAATAATGGTTTGTGTATGAATAAGTAATTGTTCAGATCAATATACACATATTTAGGTGTGAAATTTATAATTTGTATCTATTTAAATTTCAGAATTTAATTCATCCTAAACATTATATTTGAATTGCCATCATATCACATTATTTCAACAAATTATATCAGATAATATATTTTAAAAGATAGAATACATAATGATTACTACTACTTAAATAGAGTATTATTATTGGGTAATTAATTTTAGAATAGATAAGTGTGATATGCATTTACGGGAAAATCCATTAAAATAACTTTAATCTATTTTAATTAATAATATTATTGTTTTTTAACATGTGTTATAACATGTATTTAAATAATAAATATCAAGTGAAACATAATAATAAAGAGACTAGAATAAGAACACTCACTTTGAAAACTTCGGAGAAGAATCCAGTGCCTATCTTCTCCAGGATAAAGTCGTCAAAGGGATACAGCGCCGCCACCGCCGTCCTGAGCGCTGTACAAGAGGAACCCGTAACCCTTCTGTCACCAAGTCTTTCACACTCCTCACTAACACTGGACTCCTTATCACACTCCTCATCACAACACATCTCACGCTTAGTCCTGCCGCCATTCTCCTCCTTATATCTTCTCCCGATGTTGGAATGTGGACCGCGAACGTATCGTCCTGCTTTCGCAGTTTCGTCCAAATTTGTGAAACTCTCCGCTATTTTCAGCACTTTAGTTGGCTTTCGCCTCTCGAACCTGCTCCTGGCACCGTCCGGCAAACAGTCGTGTTGCATTATAGCCGAATACGATGATAACTCTGGGCACCACGACTGTCTATCCTGCATCGAACATAGTGTCCCGCGATCACGTGTCCTCTATACACGAAAGAAACCCCAATTGCAGCATTTCTAATGTTCACACCACAATACTAACTGGCGGTACTTGAAAATATGTGAAATAACATTATATTCTCACAAAAAACTAAGTCGATTCGCGACTGTCACTTTCACATATTTCTAAACATCCTCGTATTTGTGGCACAGCTATGGGTTTCTTGCGTTTTATTTGTGAGCACTTGAGGTAGTTTGTCGAATTTGTTTATTATCCGGTAACTGTTCTTTCAGATAAACAATCCAATTGACCGACGACGCGAGTACAACAAGCAAAGTAAAGAAAGCAAGCAAGCAGCAAGCGAAGCAACATCAACTACACATGACATAACTGATGGCAATGTTGGCAGAATTGTTTGACAGTAGTGATTTGATGTTTGGTATTGGCAATTCTGATTTAGATGCATTCACATAAAAATATATTATTACACTGTTTCATATCACTACTAACAAAGTGATTATTTGCTCAGTGGTTAATCAATGGTTATTATTTGATCTTTATGTGATGACTTAGATGTTACCTCTCACATTAGCTTTGTATATTTCAGTGATAATTTATTTTTACATTTATGACAATATTTATTGGTTTTTAACTTTATTTTCTTCTGTAAAAAACCTGCTGCCAGTCTAATTTCTCTGTTTATAATTATAACACAGTAGCGCCACCTGCGTCGAGTGTGTGTGTGTGTGACAACTTTTTTTCGTCAAAAATATTTTTATGATAAATAAAAAATGGGAGGATACTTTCTATTACTGTTTACAACTTTTTTATTAATGTATAAGAATAAATTTCTAAAGATTATTGCAGCATTAGACATGCTTACTTTGAAATGTAAACGAAATAGAACACAATTAAACTAGTAAAACGGTAACCATCCAATTAGCCTACATTTCGATTTAGATAGCGGTAGATTCATTTGCCACTTTGATATTCTTGTAGAACATTACTTAAAGATAATGATTATATTCTTGATTATTATTTACTCTACTATTAATTTTATCTACTCTTACTACTTATTAGTGAGTTGAGAAGCAGGACCTTTGAAATTCTATATTTTTTTTTCAATTTAGACCTTATGTATCAGTTTATTTATTTCAGAAAATTTATTTTAACAGGTAGTTTGCTAAATAGATGGCGTTATGGACAATGTAAATCATTAAAAGCACATTAAAATCAAACACAAATAAATAGCTTCATTTATATTTTTACAACGCCATCTAGTGAGCACTGGACAAAAAGTTATTATATTATATGTGTAACTAGCTTTTGCCCGCGGCTTCGCTCGCGTCAATTTATCCCCTTGGGGGTAGAATTAATCAAAATCTTTTCTTAGCGGATGCCTACGTCATAACATCTACCTGCATGCCAAATTTCAGCCAGATCCGTCCAGTGGTCTGGGCTGTGCGTTGATAGATCACTATGTCAGTCACCTTCGAGTTATATATATTTAGATTACGTATAAGGTCTATTTTTATCAAAAATGTATATCATTAAAGAAAGAACAAATTTATAGGGCCGTCTGCATTTTGAACGCCATCTAGTGAGCAGTGACAATCTGTTAAAATTTATTCCGTAAATAAGAATAAAAATGAAGTTATATATTGTAGCGTATAAGGTATTTTTTATTAAATTTTGCGGGGGTCCTGTTTCCTCAATCCACCCACGGAACTGCAGCTGACTTTTACACGGCTTTATAATACAATTACATTTAGAATTATATAAGCTGTGATATTAGTTTCCAACCGGGAGTAATTGGTACATCGATCTGTTGCTGGTAAACTGGTCCAGTTTACACTAAAGTTATTGTACTTTGTCGAAATAACCTAATAAATGCCTTAATATCAGAAGAGTTAATATTTTCTAACACATATTGCATGAGTACATAATGTATTGTATATATTATATACTCGAAGTCGCCATAATATGGGAAAAGGGAAGGTTATTGTTAGTAATGTGGACTAAGACCCCATTGCTAGCAATGTACCATGTCAGGTTGACCTACACACGGTCTACCACCACTGGTGGAAACCACCCTGATAAGTTTCTGATGAAATTGCCACGATGGGCTAACTAACCTGACCTCATGTTCATCCTATCATACTCCACTGGTGCTCCGCCAGCGTAAACCGTTAGCGCAGGCGAGTGCACCATTCCATTATTATCCATTACAAAATATATATGTATATAACATGACCTATTTTGTATGGATCTGAAATAATAACATTCAGAATCTGAATGTTATTATAGCTAGCAATGTACCATGTCACGTTGACCACCACGCGGTTTCCTCTGTACCATTGTGATAAATTCCCGGTGAAAAAACAAATTAGTAACTGGCTGAAGTAATAGTTCTGATGAAGGATTACAAAAGTAAATAAAATACCATTATAAATTTCGCTGTTTATTATAATAATCCATGCTGACCACTATGTACTTAATTAGTTAATGTATTTATATCACACGATGGAAATATAACGATGTACCGTTTCAGAAAATCATCGGAGAAACCGTTTGTTCCGAATAATTTTCACATATTCCACTTCCACAAAGAAATAATCTCTGTTACATTATTAAAATAACAATCGCTAGCTCCCTTATTCACAACTGTCTAATAACTATTAAAAATTTAACGCTCAATAGCTATAAATACAAATATATTATTGCTGTTGCGACATTATATCTAATTTGATGTTAACTACATACATGTATATGTATAATACTCAAAATGAGTATTCGTTTTCACTTATCTAAATTCACTCTTAGCTAAGTCTTACTCATATTAGTATTGCTTGATTAGGGAAAACGTTGCTTTCCCGCGAAAACAGTTGTAACAAATAGTTTTATAGAAGCAACCATCACATGGTGCGTTTGTAACCATTTCTTGTGCCTGCTACTAGAATAAAACATATTTTTTGTTATTCTTATGTATCATAAATCAAAATATACATAGATAACCCAATAAAAGGTAAATAGAAGTAAAGATAATTATGCAAATGTTTCAGGCACCTATAAATATGTACTATTTTTCAATATATAGGTACTTATTATGATATAACATAAAAATATAGCTAAATTATTCTAACTATTTTAACGTGTTATCATAATTTTGTACATATTACTAAGCTTCTTTTGTATTTTTTGTGTAGTAATAAATTATCTCAAAACTTAAGTAGTTATACAATTGAAATTATACAAGTAATAAAACAGTAGTTATAAATTATAATTCAGTTTGATTCTTTTGTAAAATATAAAATAAATTCATTAAATTTACATTAATATCCTTTAGAAAAAAACCTTTAAGTAACTACTTAAAAATAACTTCATAGTGTCATATAAAATAAATGTTAAAGAAATACTTAATTTAAATTAAAGAAAAAAAAGAAATAGAACCTTCTAGAGATTATTGACTGATTTAAACCACTTGAGAATTGCAAATATAATAAAACAGTGGGCCAAAAGACCGGAAATATATTGTATTTTTTTTTCGTTTATTATAGATAGTTACGAGACTTCTACAAAACCGTTGCAACAAGAAACATTTTTCACAACCATTCGCATCGACTCTATCAACCTTTTTTTTTAAACTATTTTCAAGTATTTTATCTTAAAACTATTGATCTATTTCATCACATTTTCACATCCAAAGTATTGAAAAAAAAGAGGAAAGAAAAATTATAAACAGGTAGTATATATATCAGTAAATACATCTGATTATATGTACTTATTACTATTAAGACAAAACCAAAGCAATTTATTGACAGTCGATTTTCATTATTTTTATTGTAAACACAAAAGTAAAATGAAAATATCATTTAAAATGATGACTAAACTAATTCATTATAATTTTAGTCTGTTTTACTACGTACATTGTTAAATATAAAAAATCTTTACACTATAGAATTATATTTATCTTTTCTTTACGCAAACACTTTAATTCGTTGGAGTGTTGGACACATTACGATATTAATATTCTAAAAACGCTTGTCCATGTTAATAAACACGACTTGTACACTATTTACTTAGTTCGAACTATTTTTTTATATTACGACGTTGGCAAACAGGCCCATCTCATTGTAAACGGTTACCGTAGTCTATGGACGCCTAGGGGTGTCACGTCATAGTTTTTGATTAGGCTTCACGGGGCAAATGAATGTAATGTTGATTTTTATATTCTATGTAACCAGAACTGATGGCAAGTGGTAATCGTCGTCTCTATATATGAACTTTATACCGTTCGCCATGCTATCTTGTGATGCGATGGTATTCCGAGGGACTAAAACGTCATTTCTCCTATACTGGAATTTCACTAACTTCAATGACCTCAATCGAAACAGCTTGCAGATTAACTTAGTTGGCGACTAAATAGGTGCAGACTACTTTATTGGGGAGAGTGGGGGGGATTGTTAGTAATGTGGATTAATAACCCCATTGCTAGCAATGTCCCATGTCAGGTTGACCTGTAAACTCAAACCAAAGGCTCTCTCTTGAAATCATCAGGATAAATTTGTCGCGTAAGACCTCATGCTCGAATTATCATCCCCCACTGCTGCCGTGCCAGCATGAACCGATTCCTTTATCATTCATTAAAAAAAGTACTTTATACAAAGAATACCTCGGTAAATTTTATAACAAATATTACTAAACTGAACAAGCGCCTTTGGAAGTATTTCTAATGAAACTTAAATTAAAAATCGTGGTAGATATTTGCATTAAAAAGCTATTTTCTATTATTAAAAAACGTACTTACTTTATCATTTGATTATCTAAAATGTATACAAATTTTGTATGTATACATTACGGGAAAAGCTAGGCCTTCGGCTATATAGAGAGAATTTATATCTTACAACAACTGTATTTAACTAGTTTATAATATTTCTGTATTTTCACTTTATAAATATTGTACAAAGGTTGAATATATTTGTTAATTCATACCACCTTGACTACCCCAATTCAGATAAAAGTCGTGATTATATGTTATTATTATTACCATAGATTCAAAATATTTTAGAGCCTGCACAGATTATAATATAGGGTGTTACTCAATGTATCTTAAATAAATCAATAAAAAAAACAATGCACTGTTTTAACTTAATCCTTAACCCTGTCATTCACAATTGTAATATTTGTGATATTTCTGTCTCCCGATATTTCGACGTTTGTAACTCGAGATATCATAATATCATCATAATTCTTGTGATAATAATCATGATAAATATCATTCATATACTATTAGCTGCGCTTTTATTCACGTGGAAATTAACTTTTTTTTTTAATTAACAAATATCTAAAATAGAAGTAACCTAAGTTACTCCTTATAATGTTAGGTACGGTAGTTACTCCTTATAATCCAGCCGTTTCAGTTATCTGCAAGATAAACAAACAGAAGGACATTTTTTTAAATTTATATATATAAGTATAACGTACATTCTGTATAAGCAGTATAAGTCAAATTCCATACGGACAAAAGTCGCGGGTAATAGCTAAGCTTAACGAGTAGTAAATGCAAAGAGCATTATCTCTATGAACAGAAGTTACTCGTCTGTGCAGGCCCTTATTCATAAAAAAAACCTGAAACCACTGCATCAGTGCTTTTTTTTTTCGTTTGATTAAAAATTCAATGCAAAGATAACAGATATAACACAAGAATAGATTTCTATGAATGTGAGGTAAGTAAACTGCATTGGAATATAATTATAGGGTACTTATTGTTAGCTCTATCCGTAATTTATACAAAAAAATACATTATTTAGAAAACATAATGAGATAGTCATTAGAAATTTAGTTTTATGTTCCTCTTTTCTTTATTAAAGACCTAAAAACAAATAAAAAGTAGCAATAATTGAATTAGCATAGTTCGTTTGCCATTTGCGATATGCGAGAGAATTGAATAGCAAACAAGTATAAAATTATATGTACAGTGTTCATGCCATTCATAAATATATATTATATTTAGAATATAATTAAAAGTAGATATTAATCAACAAATGACTGCCTCATTATAGTTCCCTAGTTTAATTTTTATCATTGAATTACATTGAGGTATTATCATTTTAATAGTCGCTTCTACTAGAGCAAATACCGCACTTCGAGCACTATCCTAAAGAATTACAGTGAATGCGCTGCAATTAATTCAATCTCCGGCGGCAATTATACTAGTAGTTACGTACTGATAGTGAATAAGTATGGCCCGATGGGGGAAGGAGATTGTGAGTAATGTGGACTAAGAAACCTATTTCTAGCAATGTGTTAAGTTAACCTCCATGCGGTTGTCTCTGGAAAACATCGGGATAAGTTTCTGGTGAATTTACCATGATATGCTGATTGACTTTACATCATGCTCATCTCATCATCCTCCACTGGTGTCCCGCCACCGTATACCGTTAGCGCAGGCGGGTGCACCAAACCATTTTAATTGCTTAAACAAAAATTATAAGCAGACTAAAATATTCTTTTTTTTATAATACTGAAATAGTCGTGGGCAAGTGCCGACAAAAACGGAAAGTTTGGTTTTATGGGAAGTTCTAAATTATGAAATCTGAGACTAGCGGCCAGTCGGGATCATGTACGTAATCCATGAATAGTAAACATTTGCGTTTGCTAATTTATTTTTTCCTACGTGTATAGAGCATCATATTTTTTTAATGCGGCATTTTGTCTAGTGCTTTTAGTAACATAATACTTCAATGTAAGACAATATTAATACAAAATTTGTCTCAAATAACGTATTGCTAGCTTGCTATTATTTATTAGGCGATTGTTGCTATCTATGATATAATATGAAAGTGTATTTTATTATTTATTACATTTTATTACTTATTTTCCATAGAAAAGTTAACATGCTTAAAACAATGAAGAGGATTTTAACAATTTTCAATAGCCGAACTTGTAAAAAAACTACTATTTATTGGTAAGTTTTGTTAACTTTCTATATCCAGTAGAAGACAAAAACATTTAAAATAATTATTAAAGATATGGTAAATAATTAGTGATAGGAGGCCATCATAAATTATAATAAACTATTTGACTACAAGTGCTGTAGCAACCCCACAGATGGGGCGTAGGGGCAGATACTCACGGGAACACAAAGAAGTTTTGAGAAAGTTGTAACTAATATTGTGAAGTCAAATAATATAAAGTATTTTTGTTTATAAGTAAACTCAGAGACTGCATTGATCTGCATTGATCTGAGAAATTCTTTTGTTGTTTGAAAGGACCTCTTGTCCTCGAACAATAGGACGTCCTTAAACATTATTACAGGCTATATATATGTTAATATATACAAAACAAATAAAGTTGCAACGAGATATAGCCGCGATATTAGTGCGAAAATAAAAAGATCTTAAATTTATGATATATATAAGAAGTTCGTTCCACAATCTTCTCTTAACGGCGGTAACTACAACACATGTAGCACTCTCCAGTTAAAAACAAAAGAAAATATTTAATCTCATCTACATCTTCGTCCTATTTAATACTATAATTACAAGGGTAGGGTCTAAAACGATTACGGGATTTGTGCGTTGAATCATCTTGGTATTATAAAATGAAATATTATAATAGTTGTGAAGATTGTGAGCGGTGATGGTATCCTCAGAAGGAGCTGATGATTTGTTTGATCTTGACATTCTCCTGTAAACGAAATAAAATTTGGTTTATATTTTATCGAATTGGTGTTTATTGCGGAAGTCCATTTCATTATTTAATGGAATTGTATTATTTTGTTTCATTTCGCTACTATTACCTTGTATGACCTGACCAACGCGTCCTGAATGCTTGGTATTTCTGTCTGACTTATAAATTTCAGCCATCAAGCGGATTCATCTGTATCAGTGGAAGGGAGAGATAGTACCTACTCTGGGTACGTCATCATCGCTCCAAAGACCATACTTCGGAGTGATGATGACGTGCTCACTCCTTGTAATGGTCAACTGTCTGATCTGCTTTATCCAATTACTTTTAAAATAAATAAAAGAATAGGAAAGAGGTGAAGTGGAAGAAGAACCACGACTTTGACGGCCTAGGTCTTGTTTGGAACAGCGGCGCGACGCCGTGCTGTTGCAGGAGTGTTATACTCTGCGTTCGTACACTGACCTATTGCGGTGGCGTCGAACAGCAGGTCGGGCTCGGCGGCGGCGGCGCGGTCGCAGTTGGCGGGCGAGCGCGCGAGCACGAGCCCGCCGCGCGCCTCGCGCGACACGAAGCAGTAGCGGCGCGCCGCCGTGCTGTCGCGCGTCACCGGCGTCGTCACCACCAGCGACGCGCCGTTCTCGTACCACCCGCCGTGGCACGTGTACGCTGCAAACGCCGCACACACATCTCAATGTACCAAACACTTTAATGTCCGCAATATTATCTTAAGACTACTTACCCAAGCTTGGCATAGTCTGCCAAAGTTGGTAAGAAGTCTTAAGATTCTACTTGAAAAGTGTACCTACACAGTTTGAGGGCGATATGGTCTGCGTGAGTACTTTGTCTCAAATATTTCAGCCACCGAGCGGCTACATTTTTTGTTTAAATTTGAAGTTTGAGAAATACAAGTGAAATTACAAACTACTGAGTCATGATGTCTTAGTTCTCAGGAACACGAAAGATATCACAGACTCATTTGTGACATCCACTATGCTGTCCATATAGGTGAAAACGCTTCAGCAGCTTGCTTATTATATATATATACATATATTTAAGTCTACGTATATATTCAGTGGCTTTTTAAAATCTAATACTTTTTTATGGTCTAGAAAACATCATTTAGACTGTTAAATTTTTTATACTATAACCATCTAGAATTTAATAAAATAGTCTCACCTGTAACTAACTCTTTGTTCTGACAATTAGAATAGAATTCCATGTTCTTCATAGAGTTGCAGCCCACTTCTAATCTATTGTAATTGTTATCTATGCAAGCTATCTCCGGCGTATCCACTTGCCTTCTGCTCCTTAGCGTTGGAGCACTCGACATATTGCTTACACTAAAATTGAACAACCTACTCCCATTAACCCTACGATTATGTTCGAACATTGCTTTCTCTCGCTTACTCCTATATTTTATCTCACTCAGATCTCTGATATTTCTCTGGCGCCTACTATTCCGTACAGTATACTTGCCCGAGTACGGGCAATCTTTTGATTCTGGATTGCTTGCTGGAATACGTAAAATATTCAGTGTAAATAAAATTTATTAGGTTATATTCTATTAATACTTTCCTACATATCTATATATGAATATTAATAAAAACACCAAATGATTTATTATAAAGTCTATTAAAACTATTGAACTGTTTTGTCCTTTTCATACAAGTTTTTCTGCTTTATTATGTAGAAAAACTTAGCAAAACGTTAAGGCATTTTTGTCTTCATAAAAATAATAAAAGCGACAGACAACGTAAAATAAATACAAGACTTTTTTAGGAGAAATTTATTTTTTAAAAATAATTATATTCGTCCTCGTATTTTTCTCATATAACATGATGGACAACATGTGTAATATCAGCGTTATTTACTCTATAGGCCTTCATTTTTTGTCTGTACAATTAACATTATAAAACTCACCAACTAAAGTAATATAAGGTGCGGTAACAGCATTGAAATGATGGGGGGAACAAGCATCATCAGGTCTGGATGTCGGCGAACCACGTTGTAGCTCTGCTATGTATGTATCTCGACGATATAGCACCACGCATACGTATCGGGACACACTGGAACACACGATTAAAGCAAAATTATAAAAACGGTACCTAGAATAACACCCTGAGGAACAACAGAATTCTGAACTTATTTTATGAGATTTGATTCTCACTGCAGTGCACGAGTTATTAGAGTTAGTGTTCATATAAACCCCGTTAGATATTGAAATAGAAAAATAAAAACCTATTTATCTAAACAGGCCCAAGAATTAAGCCCTGTGAGAGAACGGTAGTCTGGAGGTAATTCACTAATATTTTATAAGTATGGTGTCTCCGTGCAAGGTGAGATGGTGTAACGGTTCTGCCGCACTCATCCTGACGAAGACTTCTAGATGAAGTCGAAATAATTGTCGCGAAAGGCGAATACATGGTACGTTCATTAAATTCCCATACATATTTTTATACAATATTTTTAAGATTACTACATTTACATAGTATATTTACCAATGGTGTTGCCAATGCGCCACTAAAGCTACAGAGTTTCCACTTGGTGAGCTTGCTTTAACATTGACGCAGTACACTTTAATGTCAGCGCCGGTCTGGTTGGTAATCCGAAGAGTTGCGTTTCTCTGGTAGAAAGTGTAATTGCTGCTGAAGTCTAATGTGTGCCAAGTGTGGGAGAACGTCATCCACGGAGGAAACTGGCAGTTGAAACGTACTGAGACTGTAAAAGATTAAATAAAACTTTGAACATATCAAATAGGCTCAATTCATAGTTTAGTACTTAAACTTATATATACTTTTTTATTCTCTTCAGAGTTCATAAATAATAATCTGACCGTTACCAGAAACTTTATGTAAAAAAATCTATACATGTACTATCTATACATGCCTGATTTTCTTTCAACGAAAACATCTAACATGAACTGAATTAGTCCGTGAGCTTAGGTTTAAATATAGCTCTAGCTTAATTTTAAATATAATATGAGGATAAATATAATATCAAGGATTGCATTCGTCACAGTTTTAATAATTATTGATGGTTACAACTACCTTGTAGTCCTGATGATATATTATTATTTATTCATTTTCCTTCTAATATTTAACAGAAATATTGTAAAAATATTTGCAATTGTCATTTTTGTTACTTTGATAAAGTACTAAAGTGTAATAATATAAACATGTAAAAATAAAAAGTGTAAAAATTTATATAAATATAAAAGTACGTTAAATCATTTGTCACAGTTATATATAAAAAGCTACAAACCTCTTTTTAAGGCCATAGTTCGGGATCCCTCCGTGGCACTGAAGAGTCCATTGCACGTAGCGTCACCTGACTGAGCAACTCTGTATTCCACGCCTCCTGGAGATACTGGTCCATCTTTAGCACCATTACCAGATGCTATAACAAAAATAATAAATAAACTAGATGATCCGATCAACAGTTCAGAAACAACAACAACAGTTTAAATTATACATAAAAATAAAGCAAATTTAATAAACTCATTAAATCAGTGAAAATACTACTTTTGCTATATACTCGTATAATCCATACAATAGCTGGTCTATCACAGTAACCATATTTAAAATAAAAGAATCAGCTAATGGAGAATGATGACGATGGATATGGTGCAGCGATTCGAGTAGGACTGCTTAGAAAGATTGAATGCATTACAAAAGGTTCATCATTACTAAGGTATCTGCTGGGAAGTGGGAACTGTCGACTCAAAACAGAACCACAAATATCTCAAAATACAAGAGAATGAATGAACGAAAGAATGATGGAGAAGAGAGTGCATGCCAGTGCTAGTGATTGACTGCATTACTAGCAATGTACTGAGTACACGTCCCCTCGCAGCCGAAGTAAACCAATACTTAATATTATTTAATTTTGCCATATTTTATACATAATTCCATTTTTCGCTCTGTGCCCTGCCAGATTCAGATCAAGTTCCCGCGCCAAATTTCATATCAGCTACATATAAAACATGCAATAATTCTAGCAGCTGATGTCCAATAGTGGACTTATGATGATGATGACAATGAGAGAGCTAATGATTTAAGTCTTACCAATACCATTTGTCTTCTCGTAGACGAAGCATCTGTAGCGATCCTCGTTGCTGGTGGCGTGATTGTGGTGCAACTTGCCAACCAAGAATCGTAGGCTACCTTCCTTCCACGTTGCAAGGCACTCTAGTTCTTCCACTTAAAGTACAAATGATATAATTTTAAGTCAACCTTTGTTGTACTTAGACCGTTTAGAATTTATATAGCCAGCTAGGCTAGGGAGGCCTGAAAATAGTATATAGGCGTTGTCCTGTTTTAACTATGAATATTTAATTCGCAATTAACTTTTCTAATGTTCCGCGCAATTTCCTTTTTTATTTATTTCATAAGAATAATCTCCTTACAATAACAAATAGACCAAAAAATTAATTAGCGAAATCAGTGCAACCGTTCATGTGTGACACTTTGTGAAAAAATAGGGACTCATTTTTATATATACCTAATATATGTATTATTACTTGTCCATATATGTATTAGGATACAGAAGAATTGCTCACTTTATATATTTTTTTACAGCCGTTTAGTGTTGAAAAGTTTATGAACAAACACACGTTGACATAGGCACCTAATATTAGTATGGATATTTCGGCTCATATTTCTGATAACAAGGGCCAACTTATTAAAGTTTATTGATTATTTTCGAGCTCAAATTACGGCGGTACAAATTTTTACCGACAAATTCAACAAATTGTCCTTTGTATTTGACAACAAAAAAATTTCTACAGACGAAACGCGCAGAATAAATTGAAATAAGAATAATCATCTAAACCTACACAAGACGAATCTAAAGGACTGCTCATTTGTCATTGAAATCTTAAAGGCATTTGAATATTTGAAACGGAGCGTCGCAACGGTGCACGCAATAGTAATTTAGGAGAGTTGCTGCCAAAAATAGATAGTAGTTTGCGAGGCGTCCACCGTGGAGACAATAGCAGAACACAAATAAAAGATTTATATATACTCCGACATTTTGTAAAGGCGGAGTTTCCATTGAAGTGGAGAAAAGGAAAATAAACTTCGGAAGTGGCTGCCTGTGTGCAATATGCGCGATTGGATATTCTCAAAATCCAACAAAATTCAACGTTAGATAGCGCTACGTTGAATTTTGTTGGATTTTGAGAGGTTACCTTAGAACGTATATGAGAACATTTTTTTATGTAACCAAAATGGCAAACAAGCTGATGGTAAATGGTAATCATGGCATATACATGTACTAAGGACATTAAGTTATTATATGACAGCCGTAATGCTACTCAGGCATAGGCTGTTGACTCCATAGCTAGCAATGTACCATGTCAGGTTAACCTCCACGCGGTTATCCGTGGAGACCATCATGATAAATTCTTGATGAATTCACCACGATGCACTAACTGACCTGACCTCATGCTCATCATATCATCCTTCACTGGTGCCCCGCCAGCGTCCTGCCAGCAAATCATTAGCGCATATAGGTGAACCATTCCACTAACCTCTTTTGCAAAAAACCACTCAGGCCATTCCGGGCATGCCATTTTAGAGTACTAAGATACGCAGACGACTGTTTTACAGATTATAGATCCTCCTTACAGATTACTTATAATTACGTGTAAATGTAATTTTAAATTTAAATGATCAAAAAATTGATATTACAGTAAATGGAACGACGAGCTTCCACTTAAGTGCTATTTCGATTCTTCATCTGTTAAATCTAAACAATGGATGAGAACAGCTCTGGAAGGATGCCCAATTTATTTGTAAGCAATTTCACAACTACATGCCTTTTTACTGTGTCACCAGAGTGAGGATTGAGCAAAACATTAATAGGATTAGTAAACACATTTTTCAGATTAGAAGAATATCTAAGCAATTTAATATTTTAATTGAGAGCGGCACTACCAGACTCCGAACCTAAAGGACGTAAGATCAAATCTGGTAATATATTGCGCATATTTGTTTTTGTGACTGTCCGGTGATGGAAACACTGTGAAAATTTTGACGGCCTCGGTGTTGTAGCGATTTAGTACACCACCTTACTACCGACGGTAGCGGATTCCTCGCATAGTACAAACATTTGTATTCATGACTACGACTGTTTCTATCGGCCTGAGTGTTTTCTATGTATTATGAATGTTTAAAAAAATGTACTATGTATTTTTGTACTATATGTTATTTGTCTAGTACCCAGAACACAAGCTCTGCTTAACTTGAAGCTAGATAGCGCTGCGTGAATTATCCTAAAATATTATTATTATTATAAACTACACATAACACCTGTAACTATCCCATAGGAATAACAGTGCTGAAGGTATTATTATCTTAAATATTGCAGTTACCTGTACTCTCAGAGCCGTAGACATCAGGACAGGCTTGGTAGTTTAGAAGGAGTCTAGAATCTTCTGTACAGCTCTCAATGGATGATACTGGGCTTTTACAATCACCATGACCTCTGAAAATATGATATTTAATATTATATTTATATTACCGAAAATAAAATTAAATTCAAATAAATACAGTACCTATTAAAATTCAAATTAAAAATAATTTCTTCATGTAGGACATTTTAGCCGCTTATGAACGTCAATTTTTTTATAATATAATTTTTCCCTACTGTCCAGTTCAGTATATAGATCCAATTGAGAAGAACTAGCAAGAAACTCAATTGAATTATATAGGTGTCTATGTCTAATATTAAATGAAAATCCCGTGCATGAACAACTATTGCCATGCACGTTTGTCATCGCTATATTCGTCAGTTACTAATCTGAAAACATATTTCTAATAAAATAAACGTTTCAGGTTAATAATTGATGATAATAAGTGATACAAACTGTCTTGTTGATGATATATGAATGGTAAATAAATTCATAATTTATGTTCCTAGTGTTAAATATATTTGGGCAAACTTTGGTGTCAACTCAAGCCAACATTAACTTCCGGCAATACATTACACGGAATATTACAAGCCGTGATCTGGAATAGATTACAATAGTTATATATTCCACTAGCTTTTACCCGCGGCTTCGCTCTTGTTAATTTATCCCCTTAGGGGTGGAATTTATCAAAATCCTTTCTTAGAGGATGCCTACGTCATAGTAGCTTTAAGCATGCAAAGTCTCAGCCCGATCGGTTTAAAATTGATAAAGTTTCATACAAACTTTCATCCCCTATTTTATCCTCTTTGGGTGTAGAATTAATCGAAATCCTTTCTTAGCGGATACCTACGTCATAACATCTACCTGCATGCCAAATTTCAGCCTGATCCGTCCAGTGGTTTGGGCTGTGCGTTGATAGATCACTACGTCAGTCACCTTTGAGTTATATATATTTAGATTTGAATACTATTTAATTTTCTTATATAATAATATGAATGAATGAATGAAAAACTCTTTATTGTTCCTCTCACAGAAAGATATAATAATTACATAAATAAATATGTACATCTAATATAAAAAAAAACAACATAATTATAATATAGAAATAATAATGGGCGGCCTTATCGCTAAATAGATCCATTCTTCCAGACAAACTTAGGATTACCTTATTATTGTATATTTTGTGAGAATTTTGCTTTCTCAACAGTTTAAGTTTTATATCAAATTCTAAACTTATTATAAAGTTTAGAATTTGATATAAAACTTAAAAAAAAAGCAATATATGTGTTTTATATACTATACTCGTATCTCTCTACTTTCCGATGGTCGCAGTACAAACATTTGTATTAATAAGTATGATTGCCTGTATCGGTCTGGAAGTATTCTAGGTATATTATGTATGTATTTAGAAAAATATATCTATGTATTTACAGTCGTCTAAACAAGCTCTGCTTAGTTCGGGACTAGATGGCGTTGTGTGAATTGTCGTAAGATATTATTGTTGTGTGTTAAAAGAAATTGTATTTTATATACCTGTTCAGTAAGAATTGGTAGATTTGGTAGAATACTATCATTGTAACAATTTTCAGTTCTCAACATTATTACTAAACAAATCAATTAAAATATTAAACTTGCAATTTCATTATATGCTAATGAACACAATGCAATTTTGGAACAAAAGAGCTACGAATTGTTACGAATGACGTTAATGAAATTATCACCACGGTAGCAGCTGTTGATCAAAAATTTGATCAAAAAATTAATTAAAAAGCGACGAGAATTCGTCATGGTGTACTGCACTGGACTGAAGTCATAAGTCATTATGACGGTATAATTAAAATTTTAGTAAATTGACATAGACAAGTTATGAGGAAATCCCTATGGTTAATTTCAGTTCAATTAAAATGCACCCATTTGTATCAGGGTTGTTATAATATAATACAATTTTTTTTTAAATTTAAAGAAGAAACTTTCGATTGAGATTTTAAAGTTTATTTTATTATAATAATGGTGTAATTTGGACATTTTTATGCGATTAAAGAAGACCATATGGATAATCAGAATTAATTTATTATGAGTCATTCAGTCAGTCGCTTTTTCTTATAAGAATATTTTTAAAGCTTTCTAATAACGATAATAATATAAATCTTTACTGTGCACAGAAAAAGATTTACAAAAAAAAAGAACTCAATATAAATATGCTAAACAAAAGGCGGCCTCATCGTTTAAAGCAATTTATTACAGACAACCTGGAAGTAGATGGATGGAAAAACTAATCTCGACTCTTGTTTTTATTGTTTTTAATACGTTCATTGCATGTTTATATAAGAGTGTGAAAATAATACTATTTTGCAAATATAACAAATTGTTTCTTTTTATACTCTTATGAATCCGTGAAATTATCTAGTTTGTATGTACCTAAAAAGTTATAAATAAAATTGCACAATATTTGTTGGAAAGACAGACGGGAAAGTTTCTTGTCATGTCTTCTTGATTTAATCATTGGCGGTAAAAGTGCATATGATTTGAGTAATGCTTTATTTCTATTCCTATTTGCAATATTTACCTGTTGTAGGTAAAGGAGAATGGACCTCTGAGAGGACAGTCGACGGGATCCGCATTCTCCCTGAACATTGAGTATAGAAGAGCATCGCCGGTGATCAGTGTACATAGATGTGGTAGAGCATCTCGACGGTAGCAAAACGCTGAAAGAAAATGTATGATATTTCAGTATAAGTATTTATTACATATTATTTAGAAAGGTAGACTCCCCTCCGATCGATCCCCGTCCAATTCAAACGGGGATCAAAATTTCAATAGTCTTAGTTCGAACTCCTAGCGGTGTCCTCAGACTAAAGTCGTATTCGTCAGGCGGGAGTTGGCCTGCAGCCGCTCCATAAGTCCGTCTGCGGTAGACTGTAATAAGTCGCTTGCGTGACAATGCATAGACACTTCAACTATGCATTGCATCCGTTAAATCAGTTGTAGGGTGCAGATTAGTCAGTGAAATCACACGATAAGCATGACCTTAGTCCTCTGAATGGTAACGGATCTCGATGTCCGTAGTGCTCTTTATGAATGTATGTAGGCCGTTTACCGCTTACCATCATTACCATTTTTTACCATTATAAATACATTAAACAAAATGCATTTGGTTGGTTAACTAAAGATAGCCTCTAATGGTTAGACTAGTGTGATGGGATGTAATGTCTTTAATGCTAATATTAGTAGGAAGTTCATATTTGATAGTTTGTAACCTAACTGGTATCATCAGCATTATGTCAACTTGTGGTTTTGTTATAGGTGCTGTAGCGATCATAGGTGTCATGTCACCTCACCACTACCACTGTAGCGTTTATTTATTTACTAGTGACGTGATGAAGTGTCGCTTAAGTTATCTTTCATGTAATATTTCGGTAGTAGGTATACAGATAGTAGACAGCTATTTTGTACTACTGCCAATTATTCCGTTTATTTTATTTGTTGTTACACAAGCATATCATTAACACGTACACTCAACGCGGAGTAGTAATATGGACTGACTTTACAAGTTAAATCTTACGTGGAGACGTAAACAAATGGAAGGGTGCCAAGTGTTGACGGAAATATTATAAGTACATGTAGGCACATTACAATTACTTTTTAGACATGTATTTATGTAGTGATAAATTAATAGATATTCAGTGTTTTCTCAAAAATAATTAGACAGAAATGGTATAGATTTTTTTTTCGGACTACACTAATGCTGTTGCCTGCAGCTGGCGTTTACAGCTTTACCGGACGATAGGGGGTAAACCCGCGTTAGGACTTATGGAGCGGCTGAAGGCCAACTTCCGTCGGATGTAGTCTGAGGGCACTGCTAGAGGTTTGAACTTCGGCTCAGGCCGTCGTAATTGAACGGGGAATCGATCTAGAGAAAACAGAGTGCAGTTTATTTTTAAAAACAAACTCTTCTTCGTAGATTAATATGACTGGACCAAATTATATACATTTGAGTCCAGTCATATTAATATACGAAGAAGTCAGTCCTATTCATATATACAAGCGAAGACAGCTTCTATACTCCGGTCTATGTAAGTGGATGGCTGAACGATTCTAGTAATACTCACTTTCTTTGTACTGGAGGACATTTTGATGTTTCTCATGCATCACAACACAACGGTAACATCCTTTCCTGAAACAATATTTATTTGTAAGTCTTGGAGATTAATAATTATAAACAACCTAATCTTAATACCAATAATTTTAGTTATTTTTATGAAATGTTCCCAATAATTCTAGTCAATTTGATTACTTGATCATGCAATTGTGGTTCATTTATTTTGTAGGATACTTTGAGATGGCCATGCTAGGTGAAAGAGTATGAGATAAATTACGTTTAGAATTACACATATTTACACGAAACTTTACAGGTTCGGGTAAAAATATAGTTTATTTATATATTTGCTGTAAATACATACATTACAAAGGATCAAGAACTGTACGTAAATTTAGATAGAGCAATGACCTATAACAATTCTGGTTAAGACCATTAAATAATACAAACAATACTTACTCATCAGCAATAACAAATTTGTCGCCTTCAGAAGAGACACATTTGCCCTTGTTGGAGAGACGATCACCCTCAATGATGATGGGCTGGATCACCCCGGACTGAAACCAGCGCCCGTGCCACCTTGCCGGGAACGTGCAACCTGAGAACAATAATAAGTAATGTTATTTTTTTTATACCAAAGAGTTAAAAAAGGAATCTTTACATTTATATGGGAAGGACATTAAGAATAGATAGAATAAATTCAGGTTCACGTACACATCAGGAACACGTATGAGAGACCCCTGATGTTTCGAGGGTCCATAAGCTACGGTGACTGTCTAACACCAAAGGGCTGATATGCTTAACTTTATCTTATGCTTGTTAAGATCTAAAAGTCAAACGTTAACGTTTTAATTAAATATAACTGTAAATGTCAAGCAAGTGTGATGCAGATGAAGTGTCACGGCACGGGTCAGAAATATTTAATATACATTAGATACAAATCATTCTGTATGAAACATTGTTTTGAAAAGTGTCTTCGCAGTAACGGGTTATATGATATGTATCGTTTTTGGATATAGGGCGGTCCTACAAAGTCAGCATTCGCGGCGCGCAGCCGACCGTGCCGAACAACTGTCACGTCTCTCAATCATGAAGGTACGAACAAAGAAAACGAATCAACCATTTAAATTCCGTTTTGTAATGAAATTGAAATGTTTCAGAGACGGTTGGAATCTTGTCAAACAGTTCGCAATACTCTAACAAACTTTTCAATTAACTAGAACACGTCATGTCTACTAAATTTTGTGTAAGAATGTTTTTGTAGGTGGTGTTTTTTTTAAAGGATTATAATGGAATGGATTATCCTCTTGCGCTAACGATTTACGCTGGCGGTGCACCAATGTAGGATGATGGGATGAACATGAAGTCAAGATCATCAGCCCATCATGACAAATTCACTAGGAATTTATCATGATGGTTTCCTGACAATTACCACATTGCGAACAATCCCCTTTCCCACTTAAGGGTAGTGATGGCACCTAGATGTTTACTACCCCGACTTCTGTATATGAAAGATAGTGAATTCTAATCTGATAAATACAAAATCTGTGTTCATTTTAGGTTTTTTCATTTCGCGGGCTACTCGTATAATGACTTTTTTTGTCCGAGTTACTGTTCATTGGCCGCCATCGTGTGCCCTCTGTCTCTCTTGAAAAATCTCGGTATCCGGATACCGTGATAACACACGATTTTGCAACTCTTGTTTTATTTGTCAATTCTGAATTATTATGTAAAAATTGGTATATTCAGTACTAAAATTTAAATCAAGCAATGACAATGTAATAAAAATAATTATTACAACATTTTGATATGATTGAAAAATATTTGAAGAATTCATAATCAAAATAGGTTTGTACGCAAAGTTTTAATTGATACAATATTATATGCAATTTATTCTACAATCAGTGTCCGAAATACATAATAATTTTCAATATTCAAAGCTAAATATTTTACGCAAGTTTCTTGATCACTTTTCTTGTGATGACTCTGCATTCCGAATGAATGGTGGAATAAAAAAATATGACTATTCAAAGAGTTTAATATTAAGTTCATTTGAATAAAGATTATTTATATTTCTATTTCCGTTCAATTTATTTTTGTAAACTGAGAGTTAAATTAGATGTTGTGAGATTTTAGTAAGAGCGCTTTCAGATCGGAAATCCGGAGAAAGCTGAGCATGTTTCGGATTCTTCCGGGTAAAAATCGTTACAGGAGAACCTGCTATCCAATGTAGTCGTTATAGGAAATATTCAAATATTTGATTAAGTCACGGATTGAACCTGGGAAAATCTTATTAGTATTATAATCGTTATATTAATACTTAAAGCAAAAACTTTATACCTACCTCTTTTTACGAAATTTGCGTGGACGGGGGAGTACAAAATTTAGCATAGTTATAGTACATTTAGAGTGTGTTTTTTTTTAATTATGCCTAAAGATACATTATGCCAATATAGAGCAGCATATTCTGTGATGAAGTCTTTCGATTTGAGGGTGAGATAGGGCAGTGAAGTTTTGGGAATAGGTATGACATCATAGTCATTCGGAATGGCAATGCATGGGTGGTATCAAGGGTATCAGATGATAACGTGATGTTTATAGTGTAAAGTCATCTCCCACGTAGATGACTTTACACTATAAACTACTGTTCTGTTCGGGTTGTACCGAAATTATAAAGATTCTGATGGGTAAGTCTGATAAATGATACTGATAGCAAATTAATTAAAACTTAAAATATAACAGATTAATTATTGAAATGTGTACGCGCGGCGTTCTTGATGATCGAGTGCGAACTGATTTTGAATTAAATCTGAAATGTAAATTAAAATGTTAGTGTTGCGAAATAATATACGGATGATAGCTTGTATAGGTACCTTAGTTACACCTGTAAGCAGAATATTTTGTGTAGTTGTGTTTCCGTTTGAGGGTGAGATAGGGCAGTGAAATTTCGGGACAAGAGGTATGACATCATAGTTATCTGGAATGGCAATGCATGGGTGGTATCCAGGGTATCACATGATAACGTGATGTCTATAGTGCTGTCTATGTTATGAAGGTGATGTCTATATTAAATAGCAACGGTTGCAGTTTACCATCAAGATGTTTATTAGCTCGTTAGCCATTCCAATGACAAAGAAAAATTAAAAAGAAACTCAACTGCTATTTTTTAAATGTCTATTTATTAATACATTATTCCAGTTGGTCTGTGGAACCAAATCTTAAATTATTACTAATTACAAGGATTACATTAAAGTTTATGACTATAATAAAGTTTACAGACAGATTCTCATCAAAGCTTTCTGTCCGTGGGTCATCGTAACTCCGTAACTATTATTACAGCATGAAATACCGTTTCAGGTGCTAAGTATGCTTTGATCGTAATGAAAAACTGAAAAATTCATCGGCGTGGAATATATAATGGTTCTATAGAATTGACCATTGTACGTAATGAGTTTTCCCTTATTAATGTCACGCTATACGATTGATTGCTTGTAGAATCAATAATCAAACACTAAAAGTATTAGGCCATTATTGTACTCAGTGAGTCTGATAATAATCTATGTATCGAACAATTTTACAATTCTGGATGACAATTCACTTGAATATATTAAAATAGAATGTTTTTTTATTTTAGCGCCATCTAAGTTAGTTAAACCAACATAGAAGATGGCTAAATCAATAAAGGGTTTAGCCATCTTCTATGTTGGTTTTTTTTGTTGGTTTATCTCGGTTTCTATGTTGATTGTCGCATTCCTAATCCTTGTTAATGTGTATTTATTTAGAACAACATTTATTTAAAAGAGCAACACGCAAGTCTATTTTTCATTCATCTTGGAATGAGTCTGCATTGCTTAAAAGAATATGACAATTCAGCATTCATTAAGAGAATTAAGTTAAATTAAATTAAGAGACTGATATATAAGTGTATAGTTGTAGTAATATATACGTGTGTAGTTAAATATGCAAATGAAGAGTTGCATAATTAAGATAAACAAGCAACTACCAAAAGGTTTAATTCTTCGACATATCTTACATTCTAATACATTAAGATTACGTGGCTGATGCACGTTTAGACATACCTATTTTATATGTATAGAATCTGGTTGACAAAGGTGTTTCACACGTGCCTACTTGTCAAATTGGGTATTGAAAGGACATAAAAGCGTGAACGCCGTAGCTCTGATAAATGAGATGATTTACAAAAGGCAAACAGTGTCCTGATTCAATATTTTTACATATTATTATTGTAAGACACATTGACTTCCATTTTAGCATAATTTCAACACATACAATATCATTGCTCTGGTAGGGGATCTGTAGGGGATGGTTTTTTTTTTTTTATATTTAAATACATTTTTCCACAGACATATTCGTCCGTGCCTTTTTTAATTTACTTTAATATTATAATATTTATTTAATTTCCATTTTTATACAACTCCAGCCGAGATGTTACAATTTGCCTAACAGTGACACCGAGGCAGACCTTATCCGTCTGGCCCAGAACCACCGCTGGCCGGCCGGGTGAGTTGACAACATGCAGTGTCACCCATCTTTATTTGGAAGATTAGATTTATCAATATGCATATACAATTATATAAATCTTACACTACTACTAATTTCACAGTTTTCATTACATTGTGCAATGTAAGAATTCATAATGTAATACACTATACACAATACACATTATGAATTCTTACACTGCTTATACAATTATATGAATTCTTATTTTAACACTATTTTCAAAGTTCACTATTTGTTATAGTCCAGTACTGTATGTAGGGGATGGTTAGAAATGAGAAAACGAGCCCTGGAGCGGGAACACAACGACTATTTTATTAAAAATCATATAATAAATGTAAAGAATGTATATATTTCCCAAAAGGGCTCACAGTGAAGAAGTAACAAGTCAAAAGTGTCATATAAAAAACAGATATCAAAAACACAAAGTTTATAAAAAGAATGGTAGACAAGCTTCCAGCAACAAGCCCCATTGCTAGTCATATACCATATCGGGTCGACCACCATGTGGTGTTCCCTGGAAGCCATCGTGGTCAATTTCTGATAAATTCGTCCTGATGGGCAAACTGACCTGACTGTCATCCGTTACAGGTACCTCGTGTACCGTTAGCGTAGGCGGGTGCATCATTCCATTATTATGCCAGGAAAATATATATCATTGCTCATAGACTAAATAAAAACATAAATAATTTATTGTAATTGTTTAGTGAATAGAATAAAGAATAGAAAATCCTTTATTCAAATAAACCTAATTTAAGCTCTTTTGAATAATTATCACATTTTTTAATCTACTGCTCATTCGGAAAGCTGTCTCATCGCAAGAAGAATTAGCAGAAAACATTTTTAAGTCGAAACGTGTGAATATAAATTACCAATTAGCACTAATTTATTAGGGTCAAATATTAAATATACGATAAGTGATTATATTAAATCAATAAACGTACAGAAAAACAGCAAAAAATAATACCTATTAAAAGTTCTTTATCAATATCGGTTAAAATGGATGCAATCAATGAACAAAAGGCTAGGTGAACATAGCACGGTGAATGAATACAAAAAACTCTTTGAAAGAGCTCTAAT